AAAAAATAAAATTATAAATTAAACGTTCAAACACTTTAGAAACAACAGGAAGAAGAGAAACAGGAGAGCACCTTTTTGTGAATAGAAACAACGTGTGCAATTACCAGAAGAGAGATATAGGGGGATGAAATGATGGTGAGATGAGAGAATGTCAGCATACGAAGAGAGGAAGGGTACAAGATACCAAAGGCTCCGTTTGCCTAAAGCCTCTACCGAGAGGTGGAAGTTACAGTTCAAAACAATGGAGAATACGTGACATTGCAAAAAACGAACATTTTACTGTGGCATTTAACATTTTTCCGATTCTCGTTTCGAGAGTAGACTGAGATATATTGGGTTGTTTCCCACTAGCCGTTAAAGATAGCCGTCAGGAGTCACTTTCTATGTCTTTTCATGTAGAAAGTGGCTCCTGACGGCTACCGGGAAACAACCGATATATTGGCAGCATTTTTTTATATTTTTTATACTGGCAGGTAATCGATATCTTTGAGACCAATGATAATCAGACGAATAACCCTCATAATCATGTTTTTGATTTGGAATGAAGCACTCTCCAGCTTATTCCAGTTAGCTCATTTTTTCTCTCAATAATAATATTTATCTTTTTTCTTTGGTTTTATTTTTCTCCTTGTCGTTCGCATTCTTGATTCTGTTCAGCGCTCGCAGACTGACTGATATGGTATAATCACTACGTTGGTTTTAGAATGAACAGTTTATCCAATGAGAGGTCCACTTCGTTCCACTTTCTTTCTGCTGTTGGCACTTAGTAGCTAATGTAGTAGCACATTAGCTTATTTTTTGCAAAAATAAGAAGAAAACTGCATACTATAGGGGAGAAAAAGGAAGAAGTCACAAATTGGTTCTTCTACAGATTGATCACCACGGTGTGTTGTGTAACCAGAGGATAGTGACAGCGATAGAAAGGTGATCATTCTGCAGAAGTTACCACAATTTTATTGAAAAAACAGGCAATGGATACATTTTATCTGAACATGGATTGACAAGGTCAGAAAAAAGTTGCTTATATAGACCTCTATCCCAGATTTTGGAGCAATGTTGTGTTTCATTCGATTTTTTCTGAAGAATAAATTGAAGCTTTTATTGTGTTTAACGTTGAAAATGTGACTGTAGAAATGCTGAAATGTGATACTATCGTGGAAGTAGTCACAATAAAACACCCATCATTATCGCTAACAAAGTAATATTTCTAATTCGCGAAAAATTTTTAAATCATTGTTGGTTTTTCTTTGAAAACATATATCTGCCGAAGCTATGTGAACGGAATGTGAACGGAGCCATTCTGAAAATAAATCTACAGGTCAGATCGGACTAGGTGCAATTTTTTGAGGTAGCCTATCTCAATCTGTGTGCTTTAATTGAATTGAAGATGCCTTAGCATTCTTTCTAGGGAACGAGTCTTGTCGTATTTTAAGACACAGCAAAACCTATTAATTATGTCAGAATCACGATCAACAAAGTAAGTGTTAACAGCATCATTCACCGCTCCATACCAATTGCCTATTGGCGTATTCGTTTTCTAGTTCCTTCTGGGCAAACGTTGAGATGGGACCGCCAGATCCGATTTTGGGTGTAACTGACGCCTTCAAACGTGATACAAATCCAAAGAAAGGTAATACATCGTTCAAATCATGTGATTAAAAATCTATCATAATTTTTTCGTTTGATTTCAGTTAATTTGGGTGTGGGAGCTTATCGTACAGATGAAGGAAAACCGTGGGTTTTAGAATCAGTTAGACAGGTTTGTAAATCTTTTGTAACTAGCAGTCAGATGTCTGTAACGCTTTATTTTAATTCTTTAGGCGGAGGCAACAATTCTAAAAGAAAATTTAGATAAAGAATATGCAGCCATCTCCGGTCTAGCAGAGTTTTGTCAAGCAAGTGCTAGATTAGCATTTGGGGATGATTCAGATGTTATTAAAAATCAAACTGTATGTAATTAGAGTAATAGAAATGTTTTAAAGATCATAATTATATTTATCTTGTAGAATGCCACTGTGCAGTGTATATCGGGAACGGGATCATTAAGAATTGGTGCTGCATTTTTGGTCAGTGGAATTTTTTCGAATGAGTAAACAGTTTAGTGACTAGAAGTTTCATGATTATTTTAGGCAAAATGGTATCAAGGCAACAAAACGGTATGGATACCGAATCCTACGTGGGGAAATCATACTTCAGTAATGAAACATGCTGGATTAGACGTCAAATCGTATCGTTATTATGATCCGAAGACAATTGGATTCGATTTCAAGGGAGCTATTGAAGATATTAAAAATATACCAGAAACTTCCATTATTTTATTCCATGCTTGTGCCGTAGGTGAAGTTTAATGTTTTGTTTTATTGAAACGCTAAATCTCAACCTCTCAAAATCGAACTGTCTTGTTTTTCCTTCTCATTGATTACTTTTTTGATATAGGTAACATCCTATAAAAAGCAATCACAGACATCTCTACGTACACAGAATGTATTAAAACTGAGAGAAAATTGTGATAATGATGGCTATGCTGATTAACATTAACGCTTCATTAATTATTTTTGTTATATAGCACAATCCAACTGGTGTTGATCCTCAAAAAGAGCAATGGGATGAATTATCATCAGTGGTGAAGAACCGTAATTTATTTGTAATCATGGATATGGCTTATCAAGGTTTTGCTAGTGGAAATATCGATGAGGATGCGTATGCTGTTCGAAAATTCGCTAAAGATAAACATAATATGTTTTTAGCGCAATCATATGCAAAAAATATGGGTAAGACAATCTTTATTTCTTTCTTTCATGATTCTTAAAGTAGTTTTAAACTATTCTTATATATCGGGTGTCCCAGATTAAATGACACTCTTAGAATTTCCTCTACAACTTTTTTTGTTATTTTCCTAACTCCTAATTCTTTTCTCATTAGATACAGCATCAGCTAATACTCTGAAATTAGAGAAAATACTGAAACTTCAATCTCCGTTAGTTTATAACCTAAAAGACACTTTTGTCAATTTTCGTCCTTCATAATTTGTCACATAAAACAAATAACATAGCCGTTTTGTAGCTCTTCAAAAGCTCTATCAACTGATTATATTTAAAATTCTCTATAATCACAAACGCTTGAGGAAAAATCTTTTTTCTTTTATCTATTTTGCCCAAAATCATCATTTCTAAAGTACAATTGTAGAGCACTTATGAAAATTTTTATAACTCAGCCAAAATCAAACATTGTGAGATCGAGTTTGTTTTATCTTAAAGCAAAAAGAATTTTCTGCTATATCCGAACAAAGAAAGTTCAATGGCTCCATCTCTTTTCGTGACGAACAAGACAAATTTTTACCTTTTTTTTTTTGGTAAGTTTGATAAAAACGCGTTTTGTATCGCAACAATAAGTTCAAATCGAACCTGTGATACGCAAAAAAAATGACAGCACTTCGGAATACAAGAACGTCCATTTTGATTCTATTTTCATATAAGTCATCGTGCTCAAAATAAGCTTTTCTTTCGCTGTGTTTTAGGTTACAAAGTAATCGAGATTTCACATTATTTCTGATTTTTTATTTTTGAGATCTACAAAAATACATTCCTTATGTTTTTGTAGAATAGTAGCTGACGACACAATTAATGAAAAAATAATTAGGAGTTGGGAACATAACAAAAAAAAGTTGTAGAAGAAATACTAAGAGAGTCATTTAAACTGGGACACCGGATCGTTGTATTTTCTACAATAGTCAAAGTGTATTCGTTCATTTATTTAAGGTTTATATGGTGAACGGGTAGGTGCACTAACCATAGTATGTAACGATAAAGAAGATGTTGATCGTGTTATGTCACAATTGAAAATCATTATTCGTCCTATGTATTCAAATCCGCCCATTAATGGTGCACGTATTGCAGCTAAAATATTGACAAATCAAGATATACGACAATTATGGTTGAAAGAAGTTAAATTAATGGCTGATAGAATAATAACAATGAGAAAACAATTAGTCGATAATTTACAGAAAGTAGGATCAAAAAAAAATTGGCAACATATCACAGATCAAATTGGAATGTTTTGTTTTACGGGATTAGATCAACAACAGGTAAGAAATTTTTAGAAAATATACGTTTTTAAACAAAAATACATTTAAAAAATAAATTATTGTTGAATTTTAAAAGAATTATTTAATAAGTTCAATATTTACCATTTCTTTCTCTCTTTTCTATTAGGTTGAACGTTTGACAAAAGAATTCTCAATCTACTTAACAAAAGACGGTCGCATATCAATGGCTGGTCTTACATCGAAGAATATTGAATATGTGGCTAATGCTATACATGAATGCACAAAATAGATAAAGAGTTTTTCTTGTTTATCTATTTTAAAATTTCTGTTACTTGAGGATTTTTATTTATTTATTTTTATTTTTTTCAAAAACCAAATTCATTTGTTCCTCTATACTGTTCAGTACCTTTGGTGTAGTATAGATAAATTATGAGAAAAAAAATTGTTTTCCACCTTTTTTTAGTTTAGTGGTAGTTTAAGAAATACATTCTGAAGAAAATATCTTTAAACATCAATTTCCTATTTATTTTTGACTATGTCTCTTTGCATCGCTCTAATTTATTTATTTTCACTCATTTGATTCAAGCTGCTTTAATCTTCTAAAACACAATACAAGTAGAAATAAATTCATTCATTTACATTTCTATACGTTCAACTTACTTTTCATTGTATTGTTAATGACGACGAGAAAGAAAAATATTTCTGTTCTTGGCCATTCTTTAATAAATTTAAAGGCTAATTTAATTCATGTTCAATTTTTAGCATAGTTCGCCGTTGTATCTAGTTAAGAATTTCCAAAGATAATTTGCTCGTTATGAGCTGTGATTCTAGCAAACAAATGAAGAAAGTAATGTGAAAAAAGATATGTAATATTTTTGTAGATCTTAGTTTGTTGAAACTTGACGAGTGGAACTATAAAAGAAGGTCATGCGATATACTCACCGAGTGAGGAGAGATTTAAAACAAGCGCTACTCTATTAACAAATTTTCCGGTAAGTAATGGGCAGGATTTATCAAATTTTCAGTCTATATACACATGTTTTTTTAATAATTTAATCTTTTAAAGACATATGGAAAAAGTGTTGTAGTTTTTTGCCATTATTGTCTTGTGTATTTTATAGATATGTTGACTCGAAAATTATTTGATATTCAACCTGTATCAAAATATCTTGTTCGTTGTCACTGGCGTACTGTTCAATATCCTGATTTAAATCAAAAAGTTATTACATTACCTGATACTCATGAAGAAAAGATCGCTTTACCACTTGAACGTCCTCGATTTATTGATGAATATTCTACTGATGGTCCGCCCATTGGACGTGTCTATGAAAAAATTCCGTTTAAAATGCAAGTTGTAAAAGGACGAGCATATTTATGGTGTACATGTGGTTGGTCACATGCACAACCATTTTGTGATGGAAGTCATAAACATGTTTGGGGACATTATTTACACGTAAAAAATTCACCAAAATATCGACCAATTAAATGGGTGGCCGATGAAACAAAAGATGTATGGTTTTGTAATTGTAAACAAACTAAACAACGACCATTTTGTGATGGAACACATAGACTTGATATTGTACAGAAACAGGATGCAATTAAAAATTAGATATTTTGTTATAAGTATTTAAAGTACGATTTGTATTTATAGGTTAGTTGTTTTTTTCTAATAAAAATGGAGAGAGTTTGAATAAAAGTTGTTTTAAAATTGTTTTTATATATAGAAAAAAAGAAGTTTCTTATTCAAAATTTTTAGTACAGATACGTTTTAGCCGAGCAAATAATATTTTTGACTTTTGCGAACTTTCAGATATCATGTAGCTATGTAATTTAAATGATTATTGTGTTAGATCAGCTCTTTCACGTTTTTTATTACAAAATTTATAAAATGAATAGTTGTTGTAAGAAATATGTTGTTGTAACAACTCATGCTCAAATATAAAAAGTAGAACACATATTTTTTAAAACATTAAACCATGATAGGATTATATATGATTTATTAATGAATGGATACAAAACAAATGGATTATTTGAAAAATGTCTTGGATTTACATTTCTGCATGGAATTTAACGAAAAACTGATCATAAACATATAAATTTCATTCAGCTCTAATTTATACTTTGACCAATGAGGATGTTAAAAAAACCGAAATTTAATAGATATCACTATGAGCAAATAATTGATAATAAAATTTCGTTTAGTGTAATACAATTATATTTTCAACATTTGTCGATTTGCACGGTTAAAAAAATGCGATGCTATCACCGCAATAAATAGCCACTGATGATCAGCATTCATACAATAATGAATATTTATAATTTGAATCACATGGTCCGAAGGCACAAGTTATGCAGTTTCTATACATGCTCTTGTTAAACTTAGAATGTATGGCTATCAAAAGCAAAATTATTTCATGCCAAAATATTATTAAATTCAAAAATTCATTATGAGAATAACAAAATCCAATCAACGTCGATTGATCGTCACTTCACATGTGAATGAATGATTAAGTAAACATTTGCCAAGTGAAAGAAAAAAAATGATTTTATAAGAACTTCAATGAACAATGCTTTTGCATGCAGAATCAAGACTATGGTAAGATGAAACAACTGTCACATACAACACAATCAACGAATGAGCAAAACAATATCTATCATGCTCACTCAATTCTGATAGTTATTTCATTCTCTCGCAAGATATCTTTAGTTCAGAAGACACACAAGAGACAAACAAAATATTTCTATTACTACTATCAACGATAAGAAATCAACAAGATAGCAAGTAAAATCGAATAAAATGGTGAATACCAAACGAAATTATCAGCTGCTCATATTTTCGAAGATAAATATAACTATAAAAGAATAAAGACGCTTTAGATCTAGCATTCTACGTCTATAACTGTATTATTACAGTGCTGTGCTTGCACAAAGTTTGCAGAAAAATTCTTCCAATATACTTTCCTTAACAATTATATTTTCTAATTTTGCATTCTTTGTTAGTTATCCAAGACTAGTTTTTAAATCACCATATTTGATGTTCCATAAGAACAGCAGTTACCAACATCAGCTTGTCATGAATCATTTAAACTAGTATGATTTCAAACATGACGAGCGCATAATATTCGGAGAGACACTTTTAGATATGATTATTTTACAAATGAAGTATGTTTTGTGTAATACCGTCGTTGGAACATAAGCACTATAGTTGATGTCGTCTAACGCTCACATTCGTATAATATTTTACAATGATCTCGTAGAGTAATTAATCAATTATAACGATAATTTGTGTGTTGCTGTTGTGCTATTGATTTATTTTATATTAGTAGAGATAGTTTTATAGTTAGGCTTTGCGCCTCTGACTACAACAAAAATCAATTGGTGTATAAAAAGTCAATTGTCTGACTAAGCGTATATAAAATCAAACAGTCTGTCCGAATTTTGCCATCTGGTGACATATATTGCAGATCTGCCTTTGGACAAACTTGATATAAATGGAATATAGTTTTGATGATTTATGTGGTACATATTTCTCAAATGTTTCAAGATATCTTTCATTAGTTTTGTCGATAAATCTCATCAGAAATAACTTTGCTCGATTGATAATTATTTTAAACTTGTCTGCTCATTGAATCTCATCATCTGAAGAATCAAACCAGCAATGGGTCAAACGAAAAAGTTGTCTGTTTATGGTTTCGATGTTGTTCTTACATGTATTTGATAGAAATGGTCATATCACATCAAATTATTGAAAATAAGACAACATGAAGACGTTGAGTAATAATCAATTTTTGCACTTTTACGGTTGAAGTTTTTGATTTTGAGATGTTTTTTCAACATTGAAGCATTCTTTTTTATACTTTACAAGTATGATCAACATGTTTGGTGAAGGAAAGTTTTGAGTCGACATAAAATCCAAGATATTTGAATATCTTCACGCTGTTCAGTATTTTGTCAACTAGTTTCAATGTCATTTTTAGTAGACTAATACGTTTGTGTATCCTCTGACATTCTGTTTTTCTCCAGTTTATTGGCCGTATCCATTTCTTGGCATATTCATTCAGTTGATTCCATGCTGTTTGTGCCTGTGTTTGTAATTTAGTTTATTTCCTATTTGATAAATATTGCTGAATTCATTACAGGAGTTCTCTTGGACAATGCATTTAGTTTAATTTGTATAAGAGGCCTTTATGTCAGATGTTGTCGAAGGTCTTGATAAAATCAACATAAATCGTTAATGCTGCTGAATTTTGTTATAATGCTGTTGAACAATCTTCCAAAAACTAAATATGAATATATCGTGAGGTCAGTGAATGGGTTGGACGAAAATTCGATTGTTCGTTCGGCGAAATGTTATTATCTATTATTCACGTTCTTAGATAAATAAGGATGCATTTTTTGAAGAGTTTGCTCATACAAGATATTAACGATATTGGTTTTGAGGTTTTCTCCTTTGCTAAAAGAAGCATTTTTGCTATTTTCCAATGATGATGAAAAATACTGGAAATTTCATTGAGTTGATTCATCGAGGTATAGGATATTTTTTATGACTTTATTTGATTCTTTATCCGATCTAGCTGAATTTTTCAAACATAGACTTTTAATTGCATGAGTAATATCTTTCATTTTAAATAGAAATGAGATCAATGGTACATGTTGAATATTATTTCTAAACTTATCATAAAATTCAATTTCAGGTTCAAATTTTATTTTATATGGATGTCTAAATTCAAAATTAAGACAAATAAAACTATTGTGGTAATGATGGTTTATATTTTTTAGATGTGAAGAATGCCGTCCATCTTTCTTGTAATGCTACAAGAATATTTTCATATAGTTTGATCGCTGACCATGTGATATTTGTCATTTGTTGAAATTGTTTATACCAATAACGTTCAGTTTTTTCTAAGATAAACTGAAATAATTTTGAATTTGTTTTTCTACTTGATATTAATTCATTCATTTTAATTTTGACAGACGTTAAGTTCAAATGAACTGGATAATGATCATCTATTTCACAAGTCTAATTAGGTGACGTTGTCTCAGGTGTGATATTAATTGGTCTTATACATGGACAAATTCACCTGAAATGTCCCATCAATACAGCAACTTTCTCCGCTTCATTTAAGACCAATCTAGTTTTATAGAGCACATCAAATTACGTTAGAAACTGTTTTTTTGACTTCATAGCTGATGCAGAACCTGAGAAAAATGACTTTTTACTCTCCCAGCAAAATTATCGGATTTGGCGCTACTTTCAATGTGAATTGATCACCATCGCGATGAATTTTATAACATGTTCTCCCTGTTTTCCACAAATCGCTTAAGATTATTCTTATAGAGTGGGACATGGCCTATATTCTCTACAACTTTGAAGAATGTACCATCTAAGGTTTACGAGATATTGAGCTTTTTCACTTCTCATGACCACCATACAAAACTGTTACTTGAGAAAAAAGAGCATTGGCCGGTCAGCTACTAACGATGGTGGCACCATAGTAACGGCGGACTCAGCTACCTTATAAACATCTAGAAAAGCAGTTTTTTATAATCATAATCAAACTGAGAACGCAAGAAAACCTATAGGATGTTGCTTTTATCAAAAACCCACATTTAAAATACTGAGATAAAACTCAAACATAGTTCATTTTTAAAAGTTCAATATCTCGTGAACCTTACATGGTACATTCTTCAAAGTTGTAGAGAATATAGATCATGTCCCACTCTATAAGAATAATCTTAAGCGATTTGTCGAAAACAGGGAGAACATGTTATAAAATTCATCGCGGTGGTGATCAATTCACATTGAAAGTAGCGCCAAATCCGATAATTTTTCTGGGAGAGTAAAAGTCATTTTTCTTGGGTTCTGCATCAGCTATGAAGTTCATAGCTGATGCAGAACCATAGTATAAAGTCAAAAAAAACAGTTTCTAACGTAATTTGATGTGCTCTATAAAACTAGATTGGTCTTGAATGAAGCGGAAAGACTTTAGTAAAACGTGGGACACTTCAGATGGATTTGCCCACATCAATCGATAATAACTGCTGAGCGTCTTGATGTTTCCATTTTATTGTTAAGGACTCTCAAGTTTTTATGACTCTTGAATTTTTTATGACCATTCAGACCGCAAGCTGTTTACCTTTTATATTTCCTTTAATGTTGTTCTAAATTTAGTTACGTGCATTTAGATTAGCAATTATAAATAAATTCTTCTTATATTTATACAACTGATTGAATATTTCTACTGGTATTGTTTCTAACGGTAGCCAATAATATGTTATGATTATTATCGTTTCATTTTTATAGTAGACATCAACAATGATTAGGCTATCAAAATCTTTAAATTTTTCAACTAATTTATGAGATACATCCTTTTTTAACCCAATGGTCATACCATCGAAATTATTTGTGCCGTTTTGATGATATATTACCTAACACTACGTTAACTGAGATACCAGTTGGTAATTTGTATTATCATTACTATGTGTTCCATTGAAGTCAAATACTGTTGGTGAATGTATCATTAGATAATAAGTCAGATCACAGAAATATGTAACTAAACAACTAGTTTCATCCGAACTTTGCTGTCGTTGTTGAGTTTCCTTCATTGGAATTATTTTTATGTTGACAGACATTATGCGTTTTTGCAGAGAATTTTCTTTTTTTGCTTTTGTTTGGTCACATTTTTTTTGCAAAATGTGAGTCGCGTGATTTAGAAACTATGCAACGTGGAAAACTTCTGAAAACGGGAGGATATTCTCTTTGTAGTGCAGATTGATAGTTGCACGTCTCCATAAGTGGACGAAAAATGTGGTTTGGACTTAAGAAACTTTTCGTATATTTATAAGAGTTGATTGTCCTGTGCCATTTATTCTTGAGAGGAAATATAATTCTCTCTCTTTCCTTGTGTTCTTCAAGTCTATGTGATTGATATTAAACATGAGTCATTACTATTTCTAACTTTTACGTGAGGTAGAAACTAGAAAGCAGTGTCAGTCGACAATGCAACTTGTGCGTAGCGCAATTGCAATCTAGTTGATTTTGGCATGTTTTTTAAAATTTCTTCCATGAGCTATTTTCTACCTCTGATCATCCTCGGCGATTCTTGTTGGTACATAATTAAAACTAATTTTACTGACATCGAAATTTAAGTTGAATTCAGATAGAATATATTCTTCGTTTGCCTGTCTTTTTTATCCAGATTTCATATCTCCATTTGTAACAGCGTTGTTTTCTAATGATTCGTCCATATCAGACCTCATCAGTTCGAAGTGTTCAATGTATCAGTTTTATTTCGATAGTATAATTCAGTTTTAATTAGAGTTAATTAGTTTTAATTATTAATTGTTTAATTATTTTAGATTTATTTTTTACAAATTTATATACGTCTGAACTTGAACTGATTACTAGGGGAAAGAATTATAACAATATGAAATAGTCCCTTCAAATTTTAAATATACCAGTTTCATAGTTTAGAGTGTAGGTTTGAAGATGATAAACTAAAATTAATAGACAGTAGTTTGTACAGTATGTACTTATAACAAAAAAGTTAATCTAAAATGTTGAAATATTAAACTTTTCTAGTTTGCTCTTTTGTAATAAAATGTTCTGTTTATTTTATTCCAGATATTATTTCTAACTCTCTATAAATGCATTCTGTTTCTGGTTTTCATACAGCAAATAACAAAGAAATTAAAATATCGTATTCATCTCTCGTACATGTCGCTAAAATATTTGAACAAAAACCATTGGAGAATGAAATAGATGATGAATTATTAACTAAAATAGTTGAAGACTATGAAGATAATATAAACAAAGCACTAAAACAAAAAAACACAATAACAACTGTAACTGAACTGGACGATGATGAATTAAATAGAGCTTACGACCAATTTACTAAAGAATCAACAACTAAAGCAACAGCAAATGTACAAAACAATATTAATATGCTAGTTAATGGAGAAGAAAAATGTGTAAAACGAAAACGAAATGATGTCTCATTGTCACCTGCTATTAGATATTCAAAAAAATAAATTTTATATTTTATTTATGATAGAATTACTTAATTTCGATTTTCTTTTTAATATCAGATAAATACCTGAGAATGTAATGTTTACTTATTTTTTATCGTAGAAATAGACAATAAAAAGAAAATGAGGGATAATCAACAAAACTAAAAATAATTTGTACAAAATCAATAACATTATTTAAAAATTTACAAGTTTTTAATCGAAAAGTTTATTCACTATCAGATACAGAAATATACTGAAAATATGCGATTATATTTATTCTTTTTCATTTTTCATCGTTTTCTGAATATAGACATTAAATACGTTAAAGAAAGAAACACTACTAGTTGCTACTATTAAAGTGTCAGCAATCAAAACCACAGAACTATGTTTGGATTATAACTGTCAATATCCATAAATATCGTCGTCAACTGTGTTTGAATTTTTTACTTTGAGAGATCTGTTCAATACTATCCAAATTGTTCATCAGCAAGCCGTCAATAATATATTATTTTTACGTTTAATCAAATTCTGTGAACAAGATTTCTCATGTTTATATTCTTTTCTTTGTTTGTTTAAGAGTTCTTGTCGAATAAATGACATGTTCTGTTCAAGTGCATTAACTTGAGGCAGTCTCTTACGAAGTAAGAATTGAAAAACAAAGAAAGAAAAACGTCAATATATTTCATTGAATTGAGTCGAATCGAACCGATTCAGGTTTTGAAAATGTTCAGTTGAATCGAATTGAATTCACTTTTTCTGATTCGTTTCTGGCTTTTTTGCGTGTCATGAAACTATAAAAGTTGATTTTATTGTTTTATGTATTTTTGACTCTATCGGCAATTTTGCTATTATAAATTTATACTTTTCATTGTCATCTGATGTGTACCACTGAAAATAAAATAACAATAATAATTCTACTAGAGACTTCTTAAATTTCACAAGTAGCAACGTTCAATAAGAGTATGTTTAAAAATAATTAGATAATTTTAACCCTATATGTTTATAATGGCTCTTTCCGACCCAAGCAAAATAAAAAATCGATAAACAAAGTTTATCAATTTTTTATTTTGCTTGGGGAATTGAGACCACGTTTTTGCACTCACTCTCACTCTCTGCTTCTCGCCCTCTGATGTTTGTTTGATGTCAACTAAGACTTAAAGACAATTAAGACATTTCATCAAAAAAGCGGTCTCAATTCGGAAGCCTCGGTTTATTATAAGAGAGAGAGAGAGAGCACGATGATCACGTGAAATCACAGTTGTATGTATCTATATCTTCGTTTTATTTAGAAAAAGGAAAAAACTTACTATCTTGTTTAAAATGTTGATTTCATTTAAAATAAAGTATAATGTTCACGCGAATATAATCTGAATGTGCTAGAAATTCAGATCACATGTCTATTATATAATTTATGTTATTGTTAGCAAATAGAAGAGAAAAAAAAAGTGAACACAACAGTAAGTAACAGAAACTGATTTTTTCTTGTCGCTGTTGATGTAGATAATAATTGTATCTCTTCATAGCTTATATTGATTATCTCTTTTTAATTTCTAGCATGATTTTGTTTGTGTAGTCTAGATTATTAATACATGACGAAACTAAGCAATGTTTAAGTATCTTCACGTTACCAGACATATCGTGAAGAAACTTTTATAAATAAACTTTGCATGATCAATTGACATTGGAGTTTTTTATTCATAATGTTTAAACGATTAGAACGTACTTAGATACACAAAGACTAATGAAAGCATGTAAACGTCTTACTTGGATTTAAAATTATTTTTTTATTTTATTTTTCAATTTATATCATCGTCATGTATTTTTAATAAATAGACAAAAAAAAACAAATTTTTCTGTCAATAGCGACTCTAAGCTGATTAGTGCAACTAACAACAAAAATATTCTAATTGAACTTTTGATCTGAGAGCCAAAAGAAGACTAGATGTTTGAGATTTTTTTATTAACTTTTCAACTATTTAGACATACACACATAATTTTATAAATAACATTGATTGTAATATCAAAACGGAGGAAGAAAATTTAAATTTCACCAAGATAGAATAATGATTCAGTGATGAACTCTTAATTAGTTTTAATTTAATGTTTGTAATTAAAGTTAAAGAAAATTAATCAATAAAACTGAATATATGCATGTATGCTTGTAAGTAGAGTATGATAAAATATCAATGTTTTTTATGATTTATTTGTTGTTTTTGTTCATACACCATTTAAATAAATACACACTTATATTAGTCTTTTTTTTTATGTTGTTTATCTTGCCAACGTTGTTCTTGATTCGATTTTATTTATATTTTCAATTTTTCCTCTCATTTTTTTTCTCTTCTTCTTAAGAACATTAAGCTTAAACAAAAGTGTTTCTGTTCAGTGATCGGCACTTTACGTTTTTTTCTAAATAGTAGATTTCCGTTTGCATTTTTTTCTTCTTCAAATTTCTAACGGGTTGTCAACGTACAAAATAGAAAGTGTACTATTCACTATTTTTTCATTTTTCTACTTCTTTTCGTTAACGACTCTTAATTACTATTCAAATTCATTTTGTGAGAAATTTATCATTGAGAAAAGCTAAATGACTGAATTAAGAGTAAAAAAAGGTAAAACTAGTTTTTTTTTTAAAAACTTTTTGTTTGATGATTTCCGCATATTTCACTTGCCACTTCTCTCATCTTTTTCACTCTAATATCTTTTTCAACATTGAATGTGATTCTGTTTAATATTTGAAAGACAAGTTACGATATAACACAGCAAATAGAAAGATGTTAAAACGATAAACGAAACCTTTTAAATAGTTTTTCTCGACATTTAAAAATAATTTATCAATTTATGATAGTGTCAATTTTGTATAAATTTTTCGTCAAAATAAGTAGTGTTCATCCAGTAGGCTTCATTGTACCACAAATCAAACTACAAGGGCTTTTTTTTAGTACATAAAAAAAAACATACACAGTGTAATATGTAAGAATTTTTAGATGACAAGTTGTAATGGCATCATAGATCATCAAATTCTCGAGTTTTCTACTATACGTTGAGTTGTTGACTACAGAAAATAGCTACGTTGATGGCACAGGTTTGTTTCAAAACATAGTTTAGTATTCATAATATAGTTGGAATGCTTACAGGGTACTCGGCATTAAAAATTAAAAATTAAGAGAAATTAAAATCTATTCGAATTTTCAAGGAAGATTGAAGAAAGATTTTCTAAATAAGTTATGCTTTGTTTTCGATAATTTTTTAACATATGATTTCACCGTCTGTATTTCAACTTCTTTTTCTAGGATTTATGCACTATTTATAAAAAAAATTAAAATTGTGTTTCACAAGCACCAATCCACGATCCAGAGACGCGAACACTATGCTGTACGCAATATAATCATTTCAAAAAACAAATATATAAATATATTCTTCATCTCAAAATAAAGTGAGGAGGGCCAAACAAAATTGGTGAAAAAGATGCACATCGTTGCTACACGTTTGTTTATTTTTGTTGTGTTGGTTTGAGCTTACAGCTATAAAGATAAGACACTCACATAAATGGCTTTGTGTTGCATGCATCGATCATTAATTTCATCGTATAAAAATTTTAATAAAAATTTTCTGAAAATTTAGATCGTATTATGAACAAGATTTAAATGATTTTATACTTGGTGTACGATTAGAAAAAATGGCATCATTGTCTACTTTTCCAAAATATAGTAGTCACAGTGAAATTGGATTTTATCCAGGACAAAAATCACAACCACAACCACAGGTAGTACGATCATTATCTCCCGAGGATGTGCAAAAATTACGTTACAAAGTTGCTTTAGGTAAAAATTATATTACACAAAAATAGACAAAGAGGAGTTATCTAGTCTTTTCTTCTATTCATATAGATAAACAAGTAACAGAAAAATTACATCATCGACAGCAAGAAAGACAGAGAAAACTTGAACGTGAAAAACAACTAGTGAGTATAGCACTTTCCTTCCTAGAAAAATGATGAAATCTAGCGGATACCATATAGTAGTTCACATCATAGGCGGCGGAACGATTCTAATCTACGGAAAGCTCAAAAACTTTTTTCAAAGAATGATGAAAGGAAATCAAATATCTGAGCCACCCGAAGCCTAAGAGCTCTGCCGCCTATGGTTCACGTGTATTCTGAGTACATATGATGTTATCAATAAATAATTTGATATAATCTTTATTTAATTTTAACAAGGGCAGATAATGTACACAACCAAGCACCAGCTCATTAAAGCACCTGCAGAAGTTCTAACGAAATAAAAGACAAATGGCAGTAAATAAGAATATAAAAGGCAGAAAGTAAAAAGAAAAGTAAAAAGAAAATACCGAGATATTCAGCAGTTGGAGTCTTACAATAGTGCAATGTAGAAGCTTTTCACAAGAAACGATACAGTCCCGTGACGACGGGTATCGTGCATCATACTTGCTTTTCGATTTTGTTCCATTCTCCCAATTTTTTTGAAGTTAAAATCTATCCAGAAGATTATAGCAGCCAGCATCACAGAGAAAGTCTATTCTTCCAAAAGTTCGTACAGTACTCCTAGAATACCTGCTTGTTTTCTTCGCCACGGCACTGGAGATATAATTTAAGAGAAGTGATGAACCATTTAAAGTTTTGATGTAACTTTCAGTAGCTTGTAGTATTGTTTTCCTAGCATCTATATCAAAACTTATCCTCAGAAGTAAAGCATCCAAAGTAATGTTTTCAAGATGCTTCAAGGCTTTACATTAAAGCTGCATCTTATGTTCGATGTACGAAGAGAATTGTAAGAGATAATGAGTTGAACTCTCGGAACTTGAAAAATTACATTTGCCTGTTGTTTTAAAAAAGTGTACATTTCTCAGGTTTTCCTATCCTTTCTTATATAGAGGACTATTAACCTCGTGATTTTGTACGCAAAGAACTGTTCATAAATGTGAAAAGTGATTTTCTCTTTTAATTGATCAAGAGTAATTTGACGCATTTGCTAAACTTAAGTAGATGATTAGATATGCAACAGTTACAATTTATTCTAAGTGACGAGTAATTGTAACAGATACATATCGTATCTCTTTATGATCTATCTGAGTTTGTGATACTGCAGAAATTTTCTGAAATGTTATAGATCGTTTTATTTATAACGACTATATTTTGAACAGTTCGGAAATGAACCCAGCAACGTTTGGTGTTATTTTTTATTCGACATTGCATACAACCAAAAAACCTTTAAAAAATACATCGTTTCATTATAATACTGCTGTTCATTTCTTTTTTTCATTTCTGTCATTTTTGATTTTTTTCTTTTTTTTCTTGTTGCTAGTTGTTATAAAGTGCACCCATACCTATTGGCAATCAAGATTTTTTTAATACAATTTAATTTTTATTTTTAGCTTAAACATTATCCATTTGGAAGAAATAGTCAAACAACATTTGTTGGTAGGTAATAATGTTCCTATTGTTTAAAATGCATTCTTTTTTACTGCTATTAAAAATACAAATATGGCAGCATAAAGAACACTTATTAAGCGTCAAATTATCAAATATTATTTTATTCCTCATTAATTATACGAGTTACCCTAGTGAATGTTTTGATGACACCAAGGATGTCAATTGACTCATTATTTTAGAAACATACAATCCTTTTATATAAACACCATTAACTGATGATTTCTTTTGCATAGATGAAAATGAACTACAGGAATTAATCACAAAAGGTCGAGCTCCATCACCCAATTTAGATATGAATGCCCCGCCACCGATTACGTCAAATTATAATGCTAATACTTTCCCATCATCCGCACAATCTGAATCATATACACAAAATAGTAGTACTAATTATGCTACTAATTATACCCAACCTACACAATATCAATATCAAAGTAACCCTAACATAAATGGAACATATCAACCACAGCAACAACAGAACGGAGGAACAAATTATGATTTTCAACGTTTCTATGGACCTGTATGTATTATTAAATATTACTCGGTCGCTTTTACGATCATCTTTTTACCATTTTTAGAAAAATCAACAAAACACACCCAATATACAAACGAATCCAACGAATCCACAACAACAATCAATACCAAATCCAATCAAGGGAGATGCACATGATCCATTTCTACTATTTGGTGAGAAAATATTTTATTTAAATATTAAATTATTCATATCCGGAGAGATAAAGACAGAGAGAGCGCAAGCAAAAAAATAAAGAAAAATCTCTATCATAACTGACTGTATTGCTGTATGATGTACCATCGCTCTACTGACTAAATAAGCAAATGTAAAAAATATTTGAATTTTTAACTTTATATATTCAGTCGAAGAAGAAACTGAATGTTAATTTTCAAAGTTATAATAAGTTCTTTATGTGAGCTTTGATGATCTACATTTAGTATTTCTTTTATTGTTATCGATTATAGATCCAAATAAAGAGGGTCAAAATGTGTTTAACGTCATCCCGCAACAAGAAATGTATGATCCATGGGGAAGACCAGGTGCTGGTGCGCCATTGATTCATTCCACGACTGGACAAAAATTTACGCGTTACAGTGGAAGTTTACAAGATAAATTGGTGTGTGTACTGCTCAAAACGTTACGATCTATCGAAATTATATATGTACTCCTTATTCTCTTTAAGAATACGAGAGAACCACTAGGTTTTTATCGACGTGTATACCCAGAAAATATTGAAGAACAAAAACGAGATTTGGAATTAGAACAATTAAGACGTCGTGAAGAAGATATTATTCAGAAGTCAAACGTAAGTGATTCCACTCACCCGCCTTGAAAGATAATCAAACGTTTGTCTTAAAATTTTTTTTCTCTAAATTTCGAGTTATTTGAAAAATTTACAACATTTAATTAGTACAGTTAAAACTAGATTACAATCGTACATAAATTACTGAAGTTCAGATGTATAAGCGAGCATTCATTTGTCAGTGACCTAGAGGGCAGCGTGGCTTGATGGTTATGTTGTTCGTCACGTACTTCAAACATACTATGTTCGAACTTCGGCGCTAGCAAAGTTATATAATAACCTTGGGCAAGTTACTTATGTTTTAGTGCCTCGGACCACCCGTCTGACAGCATACTCACTACGTTGTGACGTACAATACAGCTTCTTCGGTTAGTCCTCGTGGCTTTCCGGAAAGCTAGTACGTGGTTGGCGAAGTGTGTATGAGGAAGTCTGAAATGCTCAAGTAATTAGGCGAAAGAACTCTGCGTCAGGCTAGCCTTCTGTTCAGAGCTGTGGTTGATGACTACCCATGTTGTCGAAACCGGCGGTTAACCATGATTATTTTAAGAACCGATGGTTAACCGCGGTTATTCAACTGAAACCATAGCAACACAGCAGAAAAACCGACGAGACCGACCGTTTTTTCGGTTAATTGTGAGGTCAACCGTCGATTTTTCTGCTGTGTTGCTATGGTTTCAGTTGAATAACCCCGGTTAACCATCGGTTCCTAAAATAATCGTGGTTAAGCCCCGGTTGTGACAACATGGGTAGTAACGGGATGGGTGACCATTTCAGAAGTTTGTCAACTGCAGGAAAGATATCGACCTATTGAAACTGGCACAGCAGCACTCTGCACCGATAGCCACAAGGCGGGTTATTCTTCTTCTTCTTCAGTGATCATCCAATTATTATTTAGTTTTGAAAAGTATAAATTATTTTCAGCAAGATGATCAAGAACGTCGAGTAACATATCATGATCTTTATGTACCATCACACTGGACGGTAGATTCAGCTCGTACTTTTTAGTAACTATAAATTCACTGCAAGCGTCTTTATATACTGTATATCGTGAAAAGACATATTTATAATGCACATTAAACTCGGAGAATTAATGTACATCGGTAGAACGAGAAGGTTGCATCCAAGTAAAAGTGTTTCAGTCAAAATATCTAGATGCTTTAGCTGATATATCGTTCAATATTTTTTACTCTTTTATCTAGATGTTCTAGATGAAGCATCGAGTTATCTCGCTGTATTGTTCAATGTATAGTTTAATACATCTTAATGCATCAAGTTTAACTCAATGTAAATGTCAATTCATTGGCCATATAGTTGCATTGAGAGAAATATTTATCTGCATCTAGATGTATTGACCAATGAATTAACAATCAGAATATATTGAGCGATGCTTAATTAGCGCTTGGACATATTCGATGATGCATTTATTCTCACAGAATATTTATTAATTAGAATAAAAAGTCTTTTTTCACAAACGCATGTTTTTACTGTACTTGCCGATATTGTAAACTTTTGTGCTTGCACAAGCATGCATGATGGTTATTTTTGGCTTTGTTTATCATTAGTCTATTGTTTTAGGCTGGTGATACAGCTGATTGGATCAATCAATTGGAAAATTATCGATATCCATTAAGAAAATCATTACCAACGACAGACACAACGAGAGAAGTAAAGAATAATGATGATTTAAATGCAAAATAAAGATGAAAATAGTCTACGAATTATTTTTAGAATATAGGTGCACGACGATTTAAGTCTGATGCTAGTCGTGTTCTTCATGCCGATTTAGTTCAACAAGCAGAAGAACGAGCTCGTTATCAAAAATTAAATAAAATGCATAACAATGTACAAGATCTTCAAGTACATATAAGAATTGGCAAAACTATAGCAAATATTAGTTCATTCATGTTTTTTAGCACACGGAATCTATGAATAATTGGTGGGGAAAAGGTGGTGGTGGTGCACCGGGTTATACAAATCGACGACATAATGTTGATCAGAGTTTTGAAAAGCCAAGAAGCAGTTGGGTAAGTTCTCTTCATATTTCATTTTTGTCCCTATATATAACAAACGGTTTTGCCTTTTAGACAAAAGATCATACAGGACGTTTGATAATGACTGAACAAGATCCCCAAGACATTGTCAAAACTATGCCGGTGTCTCAAACAGATTTCTATTATCCAAAACAAAAACGTTTGAGCAATCATCGAAATAATTATCAAATCTATGAAGATTTGTAATGTGATAATTACTCGAACAAGTCGATCTTTATCTTTCTATTTTGCAACACTTTTTTTACAATATTCTTTCTTACTTGTAATAAATTATTTTTGTCCACATACTCAATAAATTGAAAAATGGTATGGAATCTTATCAGACTATTTTCTATAAAAAGTCAGACACTCATAGTGGTTCATGAGCAATGCTCTGTCATTTTGTCATTAACTATCTTGCGCGAAGTTTTGCTATCTAATCACGAGTCCCTCCAAAATGTAAGTTATTCATTGTTTCTTATCATTTTTCATGGCTTGAGTAAAACAATCTCTTTTGTTTGTTCATCAGTTATACGGCTTCATCAACAAACAAAGAAGTCAAGTTAACAGTGAACATTAGAAGCAAACAAGTACAGGTATGATCATAGAACAAAAACGTCGGATCGGAGAGCTAAACAACAACAGCTCGAGTAACTTCGAAACAATGGCAAAACTTGATATCATCAATAAAGAAATGTCTGAATAAAATGATCGACCGCAACTAATCTACAGCACACAACAATTGACAAAAGACACGGATACTGGAACACTTGATTAAAGACCTGCACGGGTTAAGAAAACATAACCCGAACCCGACTTGACTGTCAAAATGCGGACCCGAACCCGACCCGATCCGACAACATCTAACCCGAACACGATCCGATCCGATAAATTTTTACTCTTTTGTTTTGTTTTTAAGTTTATGTCTTTTTATTTACCTATTTATTTAGCGGAGGGTATCGCATTACAGGCGAGTGATCTTTTGCTAATAGTCTGCTAATATTCCAGAAAATTTGAGCGTTATATCTTTCTAAGTTCTCAATATCACCTCTAATAAAAGAGAAATCTTATCATTGAAAATTGTGCAGTTTGGAAAAACATTGTTTTCCTTCAAAAAGAAAAGTTCAATGGCAAGCGAATTTAGGAAAATATAACGCTCAAATTTTCTGTAATATTAGCAGACTATTAGCGAAAGTACAAAAGAAAATTTCACTTCTGAATTCTCCGTTCTGACTGGGTTACAGAATTATTACTGTTACTACCCACTGTGTTCCTTTAGAACAAAAAAGTTCATAACTTTTGAAAGAACTGATTTGGGTCTCCTTTGAGGGTTTTATCAGCTCACTTTCCTCTGTTAAGTGGCATAATATCATTAAAAACGGAGTTGGGCATCTGAAGACCTTGCCTCGTTAGCGAATGCTGTTGTTCTGAAATAAATATTTCAACTGAAAATTCCAGTAAAGTTAACTTTTCAACGATTAATACAAACTTGAAATTATTATCTATGTTTTAATTTGCGCCACCCAATGTTCAACTCGAACCCGACCCGACCCTAGGGTCGAGTCGGGTTCGGACCGGGTTGCAGGTCTCTATTGATGATCAACATCGTCGGACAACATTGCCTTTGAATTATGTGCGTATAAATGATCATCAGGATTTTCTGTGACAAGCCTACGGCCAATTCACTGAATATTTCGTTTCAGTTTCTAGTTTGAAAAAGGACAAGACGAACTTTTCTGATTAGAAGACAAATATATT